AGTCCACCTGATGAAATGTGGATGCTATTCCATAGACATCTACATCTATCCTCGATTACGATTCAAAATGCAGATGCGTTGTCACCCGTGAGGACTAGAATGGAATGCCTCGTTTCCAGTAAAAAGGTCTCCGGTTCTCTACACTCACCATACGAAACACAGCAGCGTTAAGCTACTATTTTAAGTTGGTATTCTGTGAGAGCGTGTTCCTTCCTCGGTCGAGCCGACCCATTCGTGCTACAACTATACTAATAATATAACTGCAGCATGGATCTACCACGAAAAGCGTTGAAGTGACTGATTGAAAAAAAAGAAAGTCTAATGTCCAGTTATAGAAAGTATAAGAAAAAGGTGAAAGATTTTTAAAGGAAGTCTGGAGCAAGCAGCGATAAAATTTACAAGCCCATTTTAATTGGCCTTTGACGTGATGGGTGCTTTTCTAGAAAGCGATGATTGTAAAAAGAAACTACAAATACGGTTTTTTTATATACACGTAATTGTCGTGAGCTAAAGCGTATAGCGTCACGGCGATAGCAGTGCATATTTCAGCGTCCATTCTCGACGAGCGCGCGAACTAAGAGGATGAAGGCACGTAAGAGATCGAAGTGTGGTCTTGTGGAGTTGTAAGAGATATGAGTGCGGTCTTGTGTTGATAGCGTTGGAATAGGAGTTAGTTGTTGAGGAGAGGCTTTATCTTCTCCTTACTTACATCATACACTCTACTTTACGAACGGCAATAAAAAAATTAGTTTAGTAGGCATTCTTGACCATGTCACTTCGCAGGGTCACAGGCTAGGGTGGATATGATTTGAATTTCGATAAAATTTCAATTAATTTATTTATTTTATTCACTTTTTTTTGGTTTTTTGTAAAATATCAGTGCCATAGGCTTCTACTCCGTTTATATGATTAAAATGTAAAAATTTTGTTATATAAAAAAGGTCATTCAGTGTCACTGTTTTGTTAACTTCCTTCCGCGGGGGTTGCCGGCAGCGACTGCCAAAAGAAATCGGGCCGATGCGCCTACACACACGCAGTAAGGAGGGGGCGGTGCCCCGATCTAGGAAGCATCGGCTGATCTAGGAAGCATTTTTGCTCCTGCCAGCCGATTAAGGAGGCGATATCGGCCACGACTTAGGATGGCCCTACATACGACACGATTTAGAGGCAATCTAGGAGGCATCCCCACTACTCCACCCTAGATCGCCACCGATATCGTGTCGTATGTAGCCCGCTTTAGGAACCTTCAAGAAAAGAGCTTACTCCTTTTTAAAAGGCCGGCTTACCGGTCAGCCGCATGCTCCTTTGCCCTCTCTTTTCTCTTCTTCATAAAAGTTTATGTTAATAGAGTCAAAATATTATTGATAAACTTGTAAAAACTAGCTTTAAAAATTGGAAACAATCATAAAGAACAAATTATATCGCTTGGGATTATATCGCTTGACAATCATCTGCGGTTCGGAGCACATGTCATAGAAAGTGTACGAAACTGCTTTTACAGATTAATTACGCTTAATAATGCTTATACGTAATCAGGCCCTTACTTACGTAGCAAACAGCGATGGAATAAACTATGCGAGTCATTGATTTTGTCTGAATTAAACTACTGTGACGTAATATTGTGACCATGTCTATTAAGTAGGACTTGGAGGATCATACAGGGTGTAGAGAATGCATAAGCGGGGTTTTGCTTCCACATACCAACTCGTAAGCATGTTTCTTCCTTTCTTATTAATGCAGGCCTATCGCATCGAAAGTTACACCTCGCTACCCTATTATTTGCAAGTCACGTTCAGGAAGAATCGTTCGAAGTTCGTGGTAGTGGATGCTCAGCGAGGGATTCTCCGTCACCAGGGTGCTGGGGTAGTTTTTTTATTGATTCCGCTACCATGTAAATGGGGGGGGGGGGGGGGGGGGTAAGGGGCTCCGGCCACCTGTACTTACCAAATGGAACGGCATTGTGTGAGGTCGTAGTACCACTCCGGTTCGAGTCGGCCCATCCGTGCGTCAGCTAAAGCTATCGCGTGACCCTCCCACTGGTATATATTTAAATATATATATAAATATACATATATATATACTAGCTTGCCAGGCAGACGTCTGCCCTTTTTTGACGACCTTTTGTCATGTCCTATTAAAAATCCTTAAATTCTCAAAAAATAATTGTGGGTCACTCATGGACGAAAAAACTATCCTATCTCTCAAGTTGGATCAAACTGCACATGGTGTGCAAAGTTGATTAAAATCGGTTAAATAGATTAGGAGTCCACCGCGGACAAACAACGTGACACGTAATTTATATATTTATATATATATATATATATATATATATATATATATATATATATATATATATATATATGTGTGTGTGTGTGTGTGTGTGTGTGTGCGTGTGCGTGTGTGTGTATGTGTTTATGTGTATCTTTCCCTTTTTAAGTGTTTTTATTTTGTGATACTAACAAAATAATGAAAAACAGTAGTATAACTTATAGTTGGCCGAAACTTGGTTTTGGCCGTGAGTGATTCGACCTAGCAATTACACAGTAAGGTGATATGAGCTACATTTAATATGCTAGATGATTGTTTTATAGGATAAGGATAACAAACGAGCCCACACTTGATGGTAAGTGGTTGCTGTGGCCCATAGACATCTACATCTATCCTCGATTGTCACCTGTATGGATTAAAGCGAAAGCCTCGTTTCAAGTAAAAAGGGTATGTGGTTCTCTACACTCACCGTACAAAATGAAGTAAAGCTTCTATTTTACGCTGGTTTTCTGCGAGAGCGTGGTCCTTCCCCGGTCGAGCCGACCCATTCATGCTACAACTATACTACTAAATAAGTTGCAGCATGGGTCTACTACGTTTAAAATATGATAAATAGCATGATGTAATGTGCTCTTTTGCAGATAGCACTGCTATTATTTGCTATGCAAATTGTGTAAAATCTCAACTAACAAACAAAGCTAAATTTGTAACTTTTGAGATTATATATAGGTATAAGGCATTACAGTACGCCATGAATTTCTTAATCCTGTGCAACATGTATTACGTATTATGTTAGTCCATCAGTTAGTACTGTATTTCTTGTGGGGCGGTGTTTCAAAGAACATGTTAAAGCCACTTGAATTCGCAATGTTATCTTAAAGATTGCTACATTTAAACCACTGTTATTTCCAGCTATTCAACTGAACCAAGGCTATGATGTTCTTAGTGTTGGGGGGCTATTTATTATGCTTATAGTATTACTGTAACATAGTGGGACTTCTTTCGTTAAAATAACAAGCTTCCACTTGACAATTGTTTTACTACGTATGTTCTTACTTTTATAAAAAAAATAATGCAAACATAGAAATTTCTCAAATGTGAACACACACACACACACACACACACAAATCAACTTCAAAAATGAATGTTCAGTCTAATATATACTGAATTCATCCAAATTTAAAAAGATATTTCCACAATTGTTTCTTCTGAGGCAGCAACGCGCCGGGTACCAGCTAATTAGTATGTACTAAAATTTTCTGGGACGTAAACATTATGGTGGATGAGAAAAACTATCTTGTTGTTTAATACGAGTGCCAGAAATAAGCTGGAAACGAGCAGAGCACCAAAGGTAAGGCAGTTTTCTTATATATAATTAAATATATATAATTTTTTCGATTGGTGCCAGCAGAAATAGAACCCGGGTTACTAGCGTACAGCTGTGGACGTTAATGCCTGAGCTATCACAGCTTTTAAGAAGTAAATTAACTGAAAAATAAATAGCCACAGAATTGAAAATATCTTCCATCATACTTAAACTAGAAATTGTTCGTACGGAGTAGGTTAGAGCAAAACTTATTCGACTCGGAACGAGCCATCTAATATTTATTTTAAACTTTTCTTGTTTGTGCTGATATTAAAGTAACCTTATTACGTCAAGAGATTTCAACTTGTTATGTATTTTAGGTTTGTAAAACTGTATATTAAACTGTATATTTTTCACAAAATTTTCAAACATCACTAATTACAGTAAAAAGAATTGTGAAGGAAGGAAACAGTTCCGAATTACTACCAATTTTCCGCACTCCCGGAAAAAAAGGTCAAGACCCAAACTTTTAACCGACATAGATGACTTTGACAAAGGAGTGATAAAAAGATGTGTTCACAACTTCCATGTTACGAACAAGGAACTGCCGACCCTTAATAAAATTTTAGCAAAGTTGCGTGATGATGCCTTTCTAGGTTCTAAAACAAGTCTACGCCGCATTTTGAAAGACCTTGGTTTTCGATGGAGGAGGACCGAAAATAATCGAAAAATTCTTATAGAAAAATCCAATATCAGACTGAAAAGAACTGAATATTTAAAAAAAATCAGAAAATATCGCCAAGAAGGCCGTCTTATTGTATATACTGATGAGTCTTACGTGCATTCCACGCATAGTACCTCCAAATGTTGGTCTGATAATTCAGATAAAGGGCTCAAAAAACCAATATCTAAAGGTCAGCGCGTAGTTATTGTACATGCTGGATCTGAAAGTGGTTTCATACCAAACGCTTTACTGACTTTTAAATCGGGGTCAAAAACGGGTGATTACCACGACGACATGAATTACGAAAATTATCAGAAATGGCTTCGAACCCAGCTAATACCCAATCTTCCACCAAATGCCGTCGTGGTAGTTGATAATGCTCCGTATCACAATAAGGAGTATGAATCTGCACCAAACTCAAATACCAAGAAAGCTGATATGCAATCTTGGCTAACCCAAAAAGGAATTCCCTACACTCCAGATATGCTTAAACCACAATTGTACAAATTGATAAAAATACATAAAGAACGATATAAGACATTCAGCATTGACAAAATACTATCTGAACACGGTCATGACGTACTGCGATTACCTCCATACCATTTTACATACATCAGATTTAAATCCAATCGAAATGGCTTGGGCTTCAATAAAAGGTTATGTGAGTACTACTTTGCACTAGTTCATTGCAATTCTTACTAGAATGTGCAATGGAACCTTAAACGTGTGATAGAGTTAGTAACAGAAAAGGCAAGCCAAATGGGACCAAATGAATGGAAAGCTCTATGTGATAAAACAAAAAAAATTGAAGACTTTTACATAGAAAGTGATCACATAATAGACAATTTGACGGATACGGAGATAATTATCAGACTAGGAGAAGATTCGTCAGACAGCGACTCAGGGGACACAGGTAGTTCCTCATCGTCATCTGACGAAAATGATAATCTGTTAACTCCTGGAACAAGTAGTGTATTTTCTAGAGTTAATGTACCTGGTTGCAGCCGCGTTACAAACGATAATCTTCCCGCTGGTGTATCATTTATTGACAGTGACAGTGACTAGGATAATCAGCCATTTTTATCTTTAAATTTATTATTTCGTAATAAATATTTTTCAGAATTTTGTTACGTTGTGTTAATTTCAAATGTCGTCGAAAAATCCCTGAATAGATATACAAATTATGGATAATATTTCGTACACGACAGTACCTGCGCAAGCTCCCCACTACTGACGCTCGCCAAGTCTCATCTTTCGTGGCACGGTCTGTAAGTACATATTATTACTTTAATGCTTGTGCTTATCTTTTATAACGATGGACACATTGACTTAAATATTAGATGGACATCGCCCGTTTCAATATTAATTATACTCGATTTTAATTTTAATTTTTAATTTTATTAACGGCAGTTTTATTTCGATTATTTGATTTTTTATTATAAAGCTCATATAAACTTCTCCTAATTTTATGCTGTTCATTTATGATAATTCTTTTAAAGGAGAATGTTTTAAAATAAAATATTCTAAAAAATGTATACATCACCATTTTGAATAAAACTTATACAAATAATCAGTATTATACATTTGTAACAATTTGATTGTGAGAAAAAAGTTATCGTCGTTTCATTCAAAATATTAGTCTGTTTTATTTAAAAAAAAAAAAGTTTAAATAGTAATGACGATCCATTTAAAAATAAGGTGTAATATTTGACAGATTTCGTAGCAGAGTAGTAAATTTGTTCGAAAAATGTAAAGGTTAATGTTTCCTTCTGCTCTATTATTTATATTTTATATTAAATATAAATAAATCAAACCACAAATATTTATAAAAATATAAAAATTAAAAAAGAGTTCAAAATTTGCTAAAAATTAAAGAACAAACCGCTGAGGCATTGTTTTGTGTATTAATATAATTACTCTAGATACTGATAAACTTTTATATTTAAAACCAAATTATCACTTATGTGACATTGTGTAACAAAAAACTTCACCTCAGTGTCAACTAGCGTCCTCTGGTGAGCGCAACATTGTTAGCCCTCATTAAATAAAAATATAACGGTTATAATTAAGAAAATATAACGTAATATGTTTAGTAATAATTAGGTGTTCTAATTTTTTTGACTGGAACCCTATTACTTTTCTAAAATAAAAGTAACCTAAGTTACTCCTTACAAGTGAAAGTCCGGTCATAATCGGTCCAGCTATTTCGGAGATTAACCGGAACAAACAGAGAAATAGATCGATAGGCAAACAGACAAAAAATTTCAAAATTTTAATCATATGTACCGTATATACTTTTACTGGTATTTGGTTTGGACTGTTTTGACATTACAAACAGACAATTCAATATTAATATATCTGTTCAGATTATAGCCTTTTTAAATTAAGCTTGTGCTTAAAAAATATTTTTAGACACAATTGAGTGAGATCCGGATAAGCGAGCATATTCTGTAAGTGAGAGTAATAGCCGAGTCTCGTCATTTTAACCCACTAAAACCTTTCTATATTTCATTAAAAATATGAGAAACAGAAACCTCTATAAGAGAAAGTCGTCTTTCACTCGTGAACCTCTATAACAGAGACTGCTACGTGCTCGTACTCTATAAGCACCGTTTTCTGCTATTTATGAATCTTTCTTTTTTATAGGATAGGGTGACAAACGATCACACAGTTTATCTGATGGTAAGTGGTTGCTGTGGCCCATAGACATCTACATCTATCCTCGATTACGATTCATAGTGCAGATGCGTTGTCACCCGTGAGGACTAAGATGGAATGCCTCGTTTCCAGTAAAAAGGGTCTCCGGTTCTCTACACTCACCATATGAAATACAGCAATTTTACGCTGGTGTTCTGTGAGAAATCCTAAATTTCATGGAACTAACATTGTTTTTGTTTCTTCAATATCGAGGAACAAACATTGTTTTCGATCGTATTCTCCTCGAATGGTTAAATGTGCGTATATACTGTTATAAGACTTATTTGTCAGTATTTTTTTTTACAGTTGATAAGTATCGAGTGCATAGAAAGGCTCGGCACGTACTTTTACGTTTAAGTTTTAAAGTGCGAGAAATCGCTCGAATTAAGAAATAAACAGGTTTCTTTAAGTAAATATTAATGAAAAATATTTTTTTCATAAACACTGTTGTCAAATTCTAATGATTAATACCGACACAATACCTATTTAGTTTATTACAAAAAAAAAAGAGAAAGGCTGCTCCTGTATCTCTGTTAACTACAAATATGGGTGTATGAGAAACCTCCATTAGCGAAAAAGAGATTGCGGTCCCCTGAACTCTCGCTTATCCAGGTTCGACTGAGTTATAGTTATCCATTATAAATGATTTTTGTATGTTAAAATTTATATAAATTGGCATATGATGAGTCGCAGCCTAGGGAAACCCGATTCTGGGGTCCATCATTTCACGAATCAAATATGTATAAAAAATCGTATATTTTACTTGATTACTCACTTTACTAAAATATAAAGCCCTTTTCAATGCAAGGTGTTAATGTGAAAATTATGTGCACGTTAAGGACCCTTAAGTTTCTCGTTTCACAATATATACCAAAACTGTCAATATCACTGCCTTGTCAAGCAAAATGAATTGCAAATTAATTGGTTTTCGATAACATTATTTACGGACATCACTACGATTTTAATTGCTGTTGAATTATCTCGTTTGCTTAAATTATTTGCGTAACGCGTTCAATTATAAAATTTTAGTTAAATTTACCGAATTTATTAACTAATAAGAATTTACTGTTAAATATTTTCTTCACTTATCACCCTCTTTAAATGCATGGTAGCTGAGATGGTTAGCGCCCCCTGTAAATACCGCCGGTACTAATGAAATTGTTGATTGAAATTTTAAGTGCTGATTTACCACGTGTTCGGCGGTGAACAAATACTTCCTGAGGAAATCTTCATGTCTGAAAAATAAGAAAGAAAATACATTTCAAAGAGATGTGATGTTCGGCAACACGTATTGGGGTAGCGCGGCGGACATTTTCTTGCCCGAACTCTCTCAGAAATGAAAGGTGGCCGGTGCCCAACAGTGGGATCGTATATAGGCTGAAATTTTAAAACTTTAGCTTTTAAATGCAGCGCTGGATATATAGTGTAGGTCTTTCAGGTAGGTGTAGGACATACAACCTTAAAAAAATTCTGCATAACCAGCACACTTTGAAGATGGGTTGGTAAGCGCAAAATCGATAGTTTTGTAAAAAATAATGCTCTTCCCCTTTTTTAGTCTGCGAGATTTATTTTTCTTCTATTCTTCAGTCAATTTAGTAAGCAGAGTTGTCTTAAGGTGGCGTTGCAGGACTTTATAATTTCTTGAACCGCTGAAAATCAATTAAATTTTTTTATATAGGAGAGGGGCAAACGAGCATGCGGCTCACCTGGTGGTAAATGATTACCGCCGCTCATGTACAACTGCAACACCAGGGGAATTGCAGATGCGTTGCCGGCCTTTTCAAAAGTAGTAGGCTCTTTTCTTGAAGGTCCCTAAGTCGTATCGGTCCGGAAAAATCTCTGGTGGTAATCGATTTCACAAGCAAGTTGTGCGAGGAAGAAAATTTCTTTTAAATTCCACGATGATGGACCGCCAGTCATCCAGATGGTACGGATGGTATGACAAGTTTTGCCGCGATGTGCGATGATGAAATTGTGCGGCTGGAATTAGTCCGAACAATTCCACAGAGCACTCCCCGTGGTAGATGCTACAAAATACAAAAAGAGATGCAACATCTCTTCGCAATGCAGGTGAGTCAAGCCGATCGGAAAGAGCTCGGTCGCTGACGATTCGAACAGCTCTGCGATGGATGTGATTAAATGGAAGGAGCTGGCACCGGGGAGCCCCAGCCCAGAGGTGGGAACAGTATTCCATGTGCGGTCGAACCTGCGTCTTGTAAAGTTGCAGGTTCTGAGCCGGCATGAAATACTGTCCCGCTCTGCTGAGCACGCCAAGCTTGTTAGAGGCTAATTTTGCCTTCTCTTCTAAGTGACCATGAAACTACACGTCACTCGATATGTCGACGCCGAGGATTCCGATACTGGCTGAGGCAACAAAGGGAGTGTCTTGAAACTTAGGAGATACGACGAAGAGGTTCTTTTTAGCGGTAAACACGCAAACTTGTGTTTTATGGGGATTAAACTAGACTAAATATAGTCGCCTCCAATCTGAGGCTTTGTTCAACAAAGTCTCGACTTCAGACACAAGTTTGTCTCGGTACTCGGCAACGTTTTCCGGAGAAATATTGCGAATATCACCAGTGCTGTTGTCTGCATAGCAATGAATGTTACCGGTTTGCAACATGTCATTGATATGCAGATGAAACAGCCTTGATGCTAGCACGCATCCTTGTGGAACACAAGCGCTAATGGGCTTGTAATCGGAGCATGCACCGACCTTAATACTCCGATCAATAAGAAAACTGGTAATACAATTGCACAATTACTGGTTAAGCTCATAGCAAGGAAGCTTCGTAAAAAGCGCTTTGTGCCAAACCAGATCGAAGGCTTTCGCTATGTCCAAACTAACGACCAACGCCTTCCCCTTGGACCCTACTGTCTCCGCCCATTTACGAGTTAAGTAACCCAGAAGATCACCAGCCGAGAGACCGCGACGGAAACTGTACTGGCGGTCACTAATCAGCTAGCGATCTTCCAGGTACCGGATGAGCTGGCTGTTAATAATGGATTCCATTATTTTAGAGAACAAGGAAGTGATAGCAATAGGTCTATATTTGGACAGATCAGAGCGGTTACCTTTTTTAGGGATCGGGTGCACGAAGGCTGTCTTCCATGATTTCTGGACTACGGTAGGGAGTAGGAGTACTGGAAAAGATGCGTTAAAACCGGTGCAAACTTCTTTAGCAGACTAGGAGGGACGCCATCAAGCCCTCGACTTGTTGACGTCGCCCGAACCGAAGTAAACTGAACGACCTTCCAACGTGTGGACGCCGTCACCAACTCTCGGCCAATATATTCGCCACTCCATTCGCCAGTGTGTTGGCCAACGTGTAGAGGCGACTTTATATCTGGCCAAGTCGAGCAAAACA